GAAAGGACAGAAGAAAGACAGAAGTTGGAGTATGATCAGTCAATAGCAGAGAAGTCAAGGAGCCAAATGGCTGCCTGTTGTGCATGTTTCTCCATAGCCCCAACCATATCCTCCAACTCACTGTACACAATTGCTTGGAAAGTGTTCGACATGCAGTTTGAGAATTTTACATTGCATAACTGAGTATTCTGTAGTCATGAGCCATACCAACCAGCCCCACTCACACAGCCCACCTCAATGTAGGGGTGACCTGATTCTATCACTTCATTTATTGGCACATCCTTAAATGTATAGGGACATAACTATTGCTCCCCAACCTTTCAGAAAGTGCCATCACATTCCAAGGATCCATAGGCTCAGAGATTAGCTGCACTTTGCCAAGGAACCATTCTTCATATGTCAACCCAGACAGTTAGTCAATTGTCTATCTTGCTGTGAAAGGAGTCACAGACAAACCTCATCCTGGCCCCACCCAATATACACATTCATGCAGGAAGAGTTAACAAACTGGTAATCAAGAGCAGTAATCCTAACTAGCTCTCTCAATTATTTGGTTTTACAAAAACTGTTGAAGAATTTTTCTCTAATTCATGCTGCAGAACAGTTGCAATCTGCACACAGTTAACATTGACATCAGCTCCTGTGTGTAGTCACAGGCCTGTTGGCTCTGACCCCAGGAATGCTTCAGACTGTGGCTGCCTCGATAGAACGACTTTGTACATTTGCCAGTGCCTTTCATTATAAGATTGTGAGTTAACCATTTTACTACTGCACTACCTTACTGACCTACTCAAATGTTGAACCTGACTTGAGCACGGACAACAACACAACCACATATGAAAAAACTCATCCACCTCCACCTCTTCCCACAGGAAACCCATGGATTTAACCAAGTCTCCAATAGCAGGAGCCTCTCCAAGTAGAGTAGGGAATTTCTCCTGGTGTCCTGGGCAACATTAATCCTTCAGCCAGTATTGCTATAAGCAGGTTAGTTAGTTGTTCACACATTGCATTGTGTAAGATCTTGGTGCAGATAGTTTTGCAGCTGTGTTTCCTACATTCTAACTGGGGTGACATTTCAAAAGTACTTCATTCACTGTAAAATACTTTGGAAATTGAAAGAAAAATATGCATGTCAATAGTACATTTCAAGTCCTCCGGCAATCCCAAAGCACTTTAATTGTCTGATATCATTTGAGTAAATCCCCTCTGAACATTCTCCATGGTCTTGATATCACCAAAGTGGCCATCCTCATGTGATAACTGGTGATGAATCCATAATGGTGCTGGGATTTTTCACCAAGAGAGGAATCATGGTCGAGCTTGCCTTATTTACACATATGCAGAGATAGTGAAGAGGAGCAAAGCCAGGGCTCACTGGTCCCAGCTCTGATTCCACACCCAAGCTGTAAGTTGTGGAGGCCATGTTCAGTGGCTCAGTATCACCTCCAGTATGATCAGCAGATGCAGGGTCTGGAGTTCCGAAGTTAGTGTTAAGCACATTAGCAGACAGTAGGAAATTATTTTACAATCCCGAGCTAAGGCAGTCCATGGTCAGAGTGAGGGAATCACATTCAATGCAAGCTTGCAAGGTTCAGCCTAACTCACTGCACCTCCCAGTTGCGAACCATTTCAACTCCCCCTCCCATTCCTCAGACGACATGTCCATCCTGGGCCTCCTGCAGTGCCACAACGATGCCACCCGAAGGTTGCAGGAACAGCAACTCATATTCCGCTTGGGAACCCTGCAGCCCAATGGTATCAATGTGGATTTCACAAGTTTCAAAATCTCCCCTCCCCCCACCGCATCCCAAAACCAGTCCAGCTCGTCCCTGCCTCCCTAACCTGTTCTTCCTCCCACCTATCCCCTCCTCCCACCTCAAGCCGCACCTCCATCTCCTACCGACCAACCTCATCCCGCCCCCTTGACCTGTCCGTCCTCCCTGGACTGACCTATCCCCTTCCTAACTCCCTACCTACACTCACCTTTCCTGGCCCCATCCCCGCCTCTTCGACCTGTTTGTTTCCTCTCCACCTATCCTCTCCTCTATCCCTCTTCTATCCGCCTCCCACTCTCTCCCTATTTATTTCAAAACCCCCTTCCCCTCCCCCTTTTCTGATGAAGGGTCTAGGCCCGAAACGTCAGCCTCTCTGCTCCTATGATGCTGCTTGGCCTGCTGTGTTCATCCAGCCCTGCACCTTGTTGTCTCATACTAGCAACTCCTTGCAGATCGCCATAAATTATGAAAATATTTACAACGTAATGTGGAAAAATGTGAGGCTATACACTTTGGCAGGAGAATAGAGGTGCCAAATAATATTTAAGGAGAAAGACTGCAGAAAGCTACAGGCCAAAGGGATTTGGGAGTCCTTTTCCATGAATCATAAAAAAGCTAGCATTCAAGAAGGGAAATGGATTGTTGGCCTTTATTTCAAAGGGAATGGGGTATAAATGTAGATTTTACTAAAATTATACAAGGCACTTGTCAGACCACAGCTGAAATACTTATGGGCCCCTTTTGGGCCTCTTACACAAGGAAAGGTGGACCAGCACTGGAGGCAGTCCAGTGAAGTTTCACTTGGCTGATACCAAATATGGAGGAACTGTCTTGTGAGAAGTGGTTGAATAGTTTGGGTCTGTACTCATTGAAATTCAGAAGAATGAGAGGCGACTTATACAGAGGGTGGTACACATGTGGAATGAACTTCCTGAGGAAGTAGTGGATATGGGTACAATTACAGTGTTTAAAAGACATTTGGATAAGTACATGAATAGGAAAGGTTTGGAGGGATATGGGCCAGGAGCAGGCAGGTGGGACTAGCTTAGTTTGGAATTTTTTTCAGCATGGACTGGTTGGATCAAAGGGTCTGTTTCTGTGCTGTTCGACTCAATGACTCTATTCTTGACAGGGTAGGTGTAGAAAGGTTGTTTCCCCTTGTGGAGGAGTCAACGACCAGGGGGAATAATCTCAGAATAAGAGTGGGGCGCACATTTAAGACAGAGATGAGGAATAATTTCTTCTCTCAAAGAGTAGTGAACCTGTGGAATTCTTTACTGCAGAGGGCTGTTGAGGTTGGGTTGATAAGCATGTTCAAGACTGAGCTGGATAGTTTCTTGTTTAATCAGTGAGGGAATCAACTGTCATGAGGAAGAGGCAGGAAGGTGGAGTTGAAGATTGTCGAATCAGCCATTATCCCATTGAATGGTGGAGCAGACTTGACAGGCCAAATGGCCTGCTTCTGCTGTTCAGCTCACTTAGTCCATGCCAGTGATCCACACAAGCCTTCTCCCAACCCTCTTCATGCCATGAAAAAAAAATCCTACTTTTCCCTTCTCCTTCATGTACCTATTCAGCTTTCCTTTAAAAGTATCCTTAAAATTCACCCCAATAACTCCATGTGGTAGTGAGTTTCTTATTCTGGCCACTCTCTGAAATTTTTATTGAATTTACTAACTGACGACCTTATCATTTTGGTCTGCCCCATGACTGGGAACATACTAACTTTATCTAGCATACCATCTATCAGGTCAGCTTCGACCTTCTCTTTTACATTCAAAAGAGCCCCAGATTGTTCAGACAGACACAAAAAAATCCTCTCTCTCTCTCTTTGTTATTAATGCTCACAACTGGGCGTCAGAATTTCTCCTGTTAGCTAACATTTAAATCATTTTTAAAAATCACAGCATAATTTTTAAAAACTAGTATGACTTTGTGAATGCAATAAAAAAGAAGCACATCCAATGCCTCGCCTGGCTTTCTTTGTGTTGTTTAATTAAGTTATTTCTGATGCAGTGTTCAGTGTAACTAAGTCAAACAGGGGCATCAGTTTTCAGTTTCAATCTCCACTGAGTTATCTAATTGCAGCCTCAAGAGTGGCAACTGACCTCAACACCTCTAAATAGGGTTCTCGGGGAGAGGGGGCAACTCAGGGGCAGGGCTAGACTCCAGGAGAGGGGTTCCCAGGAGGGAGAGTGAATTCAGGAATATCAAATCAGCTGAGATTCCTGTTCTTGCTCACATTTCAGCAACTCCTGCTGGGAATATTAGGATGTCCAGATTTCAGATGGGGATCGAATTGGGCACGGGGGAGAAGGGGATTGATGTTTCAACTGAAGTGAATGAGCTGACATATGAACAAGAGGGATATACTGTACCAGAGAGCTGGTGACGACCCTCACTCCCACTCTCCACACAGATTGCACACAAATTCTACTTCAATGCTACCCAGTTATCTGGTCACATGATGGCACTACATACACTGGAGGAGGGCAGATTATGAAGTACAAACACTTTGGGGGTTGGGATGGAGTCTAATATAACACACGAGTGTCAGTGGATCACAGCAGGCAACAAAAATACAGAATAATGAACAGAGCAATACTCGAAGAGGGTCAGAGTGTAACATAGAAGTCGATCACAGTGTAATATTTGGGAGTGATTTCAATGTAATGCTGGGAATTAATCACAATGTGACACTGGGAGTAGATTACAGTAATTCTGTGAATAGATCAGTTTATGGCAGGAAATGGTTCACATGACGTGGAGTGGATCACCGTGTAATGCTGAGAGTAGATCACGGTGTAAGGAGTGAATGACAATGTGGGGAGCAAATCACCTTGTTGCTGGGAGTGGATCACAATGTGAAGAGTGGGTCACACTGTAACACTGAGAGTGGGTCAGTGTTGACAATGGGTCACAGCGTGGCACTGGGAGTAGATCCCCGCGTAATACTGGTCACTGTATAAGTGAATCATAGTGTACCGCTACGAGTGACTCAAAATGTGACTCTGGGAGTGGATCCCAGTGTAGGGAGTGGATCAAGACATAGGGCGTGGATCCTAGTGGAACGCTAAGCACTGACTGTGTAGGGAGTGGATTAAACTGCAAGGGTGTGGGTCACAGTGTAACGTTGGAAATGGATCACATTGTAGGGAGTGGATCGATCGCAGTGTTGGCAGTGGATCACTGTGTAACGCGGGTAATCAGTTGGAATCCTACCTGCGCCGGAGTTGTCTCCCGCTGCCAGTCATTCAGTGGGATCCCGATTCTCCCGGTCGCCTGCGATCTGGAAATCCACCGGAGTCCGAAGCGGGCGGCGATCCCGGTTTGCCGGCCGGGGCAGGAATTAGCGAGAGCGAGCGCTGGCGATCGCTCGGCCCGGCGGAGGCGGACCAGCCCCCCACCGGCTCCAGCGCCTGTCCCTGTCAGGCTCGGCACCGATTTCTTGTCGCTTTTGCCCTCAACTCCATCCCGGGCGATGAGCGCATGCCCGGACCGAAATCTGCACCACCCCTGAAAGTGAGTTAAAGCGGCACTGCTCCCCACCATCACCACCCACACACCTCCCCCCCTCCCCAAAAAAAAAACAAACCACATCACAGACCAGATCCCAAACCAATGTCAAAAAAAAATCCTCCTCTGCATTCTTTGGGCTTCTTTTTTCTCCTGCCGTCAGCTTGACATTCTCACCCTTTTATTCAAAGTTGAAATTTATTCTCCCGTTTTCCCGTTGCACAGTGAAAAATCTAACGAAAGCTGGTAGCAACAATTTTTTTTAAAGCCTGCGATTTTAGTTTACAAAACCAAACTACGCAGTTTCAGTCAGACTGTCTTTTTTTTGTTATCACTTGTGTTCTCCCAGTTCCGGACACTTCCAATTTAAAAAAAAACTCAAGGATATGTCCTTTAGCCTCGCCTCTGTCTATAGTGTACTCTGTGACCTGCTGTAGTCCTGCAACATACCCCTCCACTCCCCTTCCCCAAAGCCCATTATTGCTCCACTGCTGCTGTTTTCTGAATCACTCGTCCCTTTACTCCACATTAATGAGGTTTTGTGGCTCAGTAAGCAGGGCCCTAGCCTCTGGGCTGGATACTCCAGGTTGAAGATCTACTCCAGGACTCACGATGAGCTATGGAAGGAGAAAGTTCATCTGGAACGGTAAGAGACAGCATGTCCGAAGCACTGAAACACTCCTTGCCCAGTCTTCTGAGCCAGTAAAGAACTGTTGCAGGCTCAGAGTTGGCAGTTACCAAAGGTGCATTTCCACAGAATAGCCTGACCTCTCCATTTGATGCAACAACAGTTCCAGACCATGCAGCATGCAGTGGCCCAATTGATTACCACATCCTTATCCGTCAAGCTGTTGTTGAAATTTCCTTGGATTTTCAGTCAAGTCTAGTAGCATCAGAAATATTTTCTAATCAGCCTGCTCAGAGATGGCATTGATTGATTGATTTATTGTCAGGTGTACCAAAATACAGTGAAAAGCTTTGTTTACGAGGGTACAGGCAGATCACAGCAAGCAAAGGATGTACAGATCAAAAATACTTAGAGGCATACAGGTTACATTGCAGGTTACATTATTTGAGGCTAGAGTCCATTCAACAGTCTGATAATAGTCAGAAAGAAGCTGTTCCTGAACCTGCTCGTGCATGTGTTCAGGCCTCTGTATCTTCTGCCTGACGGAAGAGGTTGTAGGAGATCATTACTGGGGTGCGATGGGTCTTTGATGATGTTGGCAGCCTTTCTGCGGCAGCGAGCCATATAAATTATAGTCCATGGATGGGAGGTTGGCTTCCATGATGGTCTGGGCTGTGCGCACCATGTTCTGTAGTTTCTTATTGTCCTGGGCAGAGCAGTTGTCATACCAGGCCGTTATACACCCGGACAGTATGCTTTCAATGATGCATCTGTAGAAGTTAGTGAGGGACCTTAAGAAAATGCCAAGTTTCCTGAGCTGCTTGAGGAAGAAAAGACGTTGTTGTGCCTTCTTAACTGTCAGATTTACGTGGGAAGTCCAGGACAGGTCATCGGTAATCCTCACTCTGAGGAACTTCACTCTCGACCTCAGTTCCATTGATATAGAGAGGGGCGTTTCTCTTCCTTTCTTTCTGAAATCAGTGATCAATTCTTTAGTTTTGTTGACGTTGAGAGACAGATTGTTTTCATTGCACCAAGCCACCAAGCCCTCTATCTCCCTTCTGAACTTTGACTCGTCGTTGTTAGATATCCGTCCCACGCTGGTGGTGTCGTCAGCGAACTTGTAGATGGCGTTCATTCAGAATCTGGCAACACAATTGTAGGTATACAGGGAGTACGGTGGGGGGCTGAGGACATATCCTTCAGGGGCTCCATTGTTCAGTGTTATTGTGGAGGAGGTGCAGTTACCTATCCTCACTGATTGTGACCTATGGGTCAGAAAACTGGGGATCCAGTTGCAAGGAGTGGAGGCGAGCCCAAGGTCACGCAGTTTTGAGATTAATCTGGAGGGATAGTGGTGTTGAAGGTGTAGCTGTAGTCAACAAGCAGGAGTCTGATGTAAGTGTCTTTGTTGTCCAGATGTTCCAAGGATGAGTGCAGGGCTGGGGATATGGCATCCTCTGTAGACCCGTTCTGTCAGTAGGAAAACTAATGGATTGAGGCAGTTTGGGAGACTGGAATTGATGTGGGCCATGACCAGCCTTTCAAAGCACTTCATGATTATTGAAGTCAGAGCTTGTGTTTTCTTAGGTACGGGAATGATGGTGTTTTCTTGAAGCAGGTGGGGACTTTGGCTTGTAGGTGGGAGAGGTTGAAGACGTCGGTGAATACCTCCACCAGTTGGTCTGCACGGGATCTGAGTGCTCGGCCAGGGACGCCGTCCGGGCCTGTCGCTTTCCGTGGGTTGACTTCCAGGAAGACCAATCTGACATCTGCAGCGGTGACAGAGGGAACAGGTGTGTCTGGGGCTGTTTGGGCAGACGTCACCACGCCAGTGATATTCTGCTCAAACCGAGCATAGCAAGCATTGAGCATGTCGGGGAGGGATGTGTCATTGTCCACTATCTTACACTGTTTCATTTTGTATCCCATAATGTCATTTAGGCCATGCCATAAATGGCGGGAGTCTGTTTGGTGGGTTTGGGCCTCTAGCTTGGTTCAGTACTGCCTCTTGGCTTTGAGATGGCTTTGCGGAGGTCACATCTGGATTTTCTGTGTTGGTCTGGGCCACCTGCCTTGAATGCTGCACGTCTGGTCTTCAGTAGGGAGTGGATTTCCTGGTTCATCCAAGTTTACGGTTGGGGAACACTTGGACTGACTTCTTTGGTCCACAGTCCTCTATGCATTTTGTAATGAAGTCCGTGACGGTGGTAGCGTACACATCTAGGTTTTCCGCTGAACACTTGAACATGGTCCGGTTCACCGAGTCCATGCAGTCTTGGAGGGATTGTACTTCTTTTCGTGAAGGATTCTCTCATTTCAGCTTCTGCTTGTAAGCTGAGAGGAGGAACACAGCGCTGTGACCTGTAGGCAGGGGAATTGAACAGTAGGTGTTTTTGATGGTTGTGTAGCAGTGGTCCAGAATGTTCGGCCCTCTGGTGTTTTGGCGTCACCTGCTTGAGGTTGGCTTGGTTGAAGTCACTGGCCACAATGAATAAGGGACTCAGGGAATTTTGTCTCTAGTATGTTTATGGCGGTGTAAATCAGGCCTAGGGCATTATTCACATCCACGTGGGATGGTATATAGACTGCTGTCAGGATAGCGGGGGCATTAACCACCTCTGGAGCAGGTGGGTCTCAAACCTGGGCCTCCTGGCCCAGAGACAGAGGCACTACCACTGCACTGTAAGAGGCCTCTACCTGGGAGCATTGGATTATTATTTTAGTCCCAAAAAGAACTTCATTATTGAACACGTCTGCTTCAACCAGAAGTCTCAACAGGCAGGGGAATTGTCAAACACCTTTCTTAGTGATTTATATAGGTTGGCTAGTTCATGCTAAAATACATTTAATTAAAGGGAATATTTGTAACCAACTTGCAAATCCTCACAAACGTTCCCCATTATCCCACAAAGTGGATGCGAAATAGATGTGCTTTGGGTACGAGGAAAGGGCAGGCTAATAGCAATAAATCATAATGCTTGTTGGACAGTTAGCGCAGACACAGTGGGCTGAATAGTCTTCTATTGTGCCATAATAATTCTATAATTCTGTGAAATTAGTAAAGGCAATTTAAGTTTCCAGGTCTGTTCTATTGGTTGTATCTTGCTCACAGTCTCACCTGTATCTGCAAGATATAATTATTCCTCACAGATGCCTCCTGTATGTTTCTATCACTAATATTTTGTTTATTTATTTAGCAAAAGAATCTGTTTTTTTTGCTGCCATAATACAGTTTGAGCCCATGTTACCATTAATTAGTAGAGCAATAGCCTGGGCCTCTAGATTACTCGTCCAGTGACATTACTTCTGCACCAACATCTCACTCTTAAATCAAACTACAAGTCAGTCTGATTACATTGGAAATTAAAGCTGTGAAGAAGTATTTTTTTAACTCATTCGTGCAATGTAGGCATCATTGATGTATTGCCTGTCCCTAATTGCCCTGGTGAAGGTGGTGGTGAGCTGCCTTCGTGAATCACTGTAGTCCTTAGAGTGTAAGGACACTCAGTATGTCGTTAGGGAGGGAGTTTCAGGATCTTTTTGCAGCAACAGTGATACAATTCCAAGTCTGGATTGTGTGTAGCTTAGAGGAAAACTTGCAGAGCCTAGTATGCCCACGTATCTGTTGTCCTTATCTTTCTAGGTTGTAGAGGTCACAGGTTTGAAAGGTGCTCTTGAAGGAGCCAAGATGAGTGAAGGTTGAAATTGATGGATAGGGTGTCAATTAAGCAAACAGCTTTGTCCAAATGTTATTGGAGCTGCACCCTTCAATCTACTGAAGACTATTTGTGCCTTGGAAATGGTGGATAGGCATTAGGGAGTCTGGAGGTGAGTTACTTGCCACAAAATTCCAAGCCTTTAGCCTGCTCTTCACCACAGTATTTATATGGCTGATCCAGTTTACTTTCTGGCCAGTAGTAACCCCCAGGAAGTCAGTAGTCAGGAATTCAGCGATGGTAATGCAATTGACTGTTCAGGGTTGACAGTTAGATAATCTTTCATTGGGGGTGGCCATTGCCAGGCACTTGTTTGATGAGAATATTACTTGAAGTTGTTGACTTGCTCGCCGAGCTGGCTTGTTTTTGTTCAGACGTTTTGTCACCATGCTAGGTGACATCATCAGTGGAGCCTCCGATGAAGCGATGTTGTTCCACTCTGCTTGGAATTTATATTGTCTGGTCCGTTATAGTGAGTACTGTCATTTCACTGTCAAAACTTTAGGGGCCTCAAACTGAACCCTTGTACAGAGTCCACAGAAGTCAAACACCTCAGGAAAGCAGGATACATGTAGGTTTTCTTTTTTGCAAGGTGCAGCAATTTTGTTTTAAACAAACCAACGGCTTTCATGGATACAGATGACTAGTTTCATCTATTAATCAGTGTCATCAGTGAGCAGTACACCCCCCAATCAGTCAGAAGGTTGTGGATTTGAATCCCAGTCTAGATACAGGTCGTTAAATGTACATCTAAGCTAACACACCCAGTGCAGTACTAAGGGAGTGCCTTGGAGATAACCAAATCTGACATAAAACCAAGGCCCTTCCTGCCATTTAGATGGATGTAAAATCCCATGGCACTATTTTGAAGAACAACAGGGGAATTTTACCCTGTATTCTGACCAATATTTGTTCTGCAACCAACATCACAAAACATTATCACATTTCCAGCTCTAGAAGCTTGCTGTGTGTAAATTGGATGATACATTTATAAATTTACAAGTGACTACAACTCATTAGCTGTAGAGCATTTCAAATATCTTAATATTCTGAGAGGGGAAATGGGAGAGACCAAATTATGTCTGTCTGACAGTAGGGAATCATCCAATTTGGGTAATGAAAAATTTATTTGTTTTGCAATTAGTGCAGAAAGGGTGCACAAAAATGGGTGTGTCGAGCAACTACTGGTGTGTCAATTGGGGGTGTGGAGATGTTGGTTATGGGTCATGTGATGAAATTGCCTTGAATGTACCCAATTAGAGATGGTAAGTGTACTGGGGGCCTGTCATCCAGCACATT